TCTGACACGTATATCCAAATGAAACCTATTTTTTCATTCGGAAGATCTAGAGATATGAATATTATTATTTATTATTATATCGATCATTAAAACATTGTTTCAATAAAATCAAAAATTGATAATAACGTTGTGTTGAAAAATAGCTGTTTGCTGATTGTCCGTCTGCTCAGCATTGCAGATAGATTCATGGTTAGGTGAACTATTTTTGTTTAAAGTTTTGCTTTGTGGATTTTTTTCGCATATGTTGGATGAAGACGATTCATCATTATCATAATTATTATTCTACGTTCTCTCACATTAATATTGGACTATTTTTGCAGGACACCTATGGAAAAATATATGATACATTCTGGGATGAACAGCAGAGATATGAAATTTTCAAGGAAAACTTGAAGAAAATAGAAGAGCACAATGCCAAATATCACCATGGACAAGAAACTCACCATATCGGAATTACCCAGTTTGCCGATATGACACATGAGGAATTCAGAAAGATTCTTGGTCGGCAGAAAAAAATTAAACCAGCTGCATCAGCTGCAATACTCGAAACAACATGGATTGAAGCAACAACTAAAAAAATACCTGATGAATGGGACTGGAGACACGAAGGAGCTGTATCGGATATCAAAGATCAAGCAAATTGTGGGTCCTGCTGGGCTTTCAGTGCTGTGAGTATTGTGGAAGATTTTATCCGCTCTAAGAAAAACATCCTGGGGGATGCATTTCTAGGCGAATATGGTCTAAGAAAACGCCTGTTCTTTTCACCACATCTCATAAAAATAATATCGAATATCTGTCACTGTGTTTCGCTATTTTATGTTATTGAAGTAGCAGTCTCAACCATATTGCATTTTGTTCACCAAGAGGTAATGTCATGTCACTAAAATACATCAACCAAATCAAGGGCTTTGTTCAAACCATATGTATTGGATTCAATGGATCTTATGCTATTTCAGATAAATAATTATTCGCCATGGAACTATGAGCGAACAAATACACATAGATTATCTCTGCTGAGTTTTTTTCTCTACTAGCATGATATAAATTTTTCACTTATTATTAACTTGCAAAAATTAGTTTTCATGAGATTTATCCCGAACAAATATGAATCCATTTACTGTTAACAGGTGGAATTTGCTAAGGAGGCACCAATTAGGATTGAATAGATTGTCTTTTTGGTCTGGGATCATCATCAATTTCTCACTCATTAACCTTGCTTTGGTGAATATAAATGTACTTACCACTGATTGCTAGCCTATTTGATCCTTGGAGATGCGCATGAACTATACAAATCCCCACCTGATTATTCTTGTTTGGCTAGATATAGTTTGATGCAACCATTATCAACTAGCGAATGTTCGGGTAATTGGTCTACGATAATGATCCAAGAATCTACGATCCTTTTTTTCAAAAATTCCAGTGTATACATATAGCTGCTGATATCTGCACAATGACAAAACAACGAATTATTCACATCGCCACATAACTTTTTTAGACAATTGTGGAGGAACTTATTTCCGAATTCGTTAAATTTTCTCAATTGTTTTGGCTTATAGCCTACTTTTTGATTATTGTCAGATTTGATAAAGGATTTAGAAAGTCTCTTGAGACGCTGAAATGAATGAAAATCGATGAAACTCATTGGGTACCTGAAGTTTCCATTCGAATGTTGTCAAAAATAGGGGGACGGGGATGTATGTGTTTCGTGTTCTTTTGATTGCGAATATCTTCCAAAATCGGCAATTCTGGAGTTCTGACTCAGATCGCTGCCCAGCAAGAACAGATCGTGTGTCAGCAGGATGAGATTAAAGCTCAGGTTTCAAACCAATTCATCACTCAGATAGAAGAAATGGAGATAAAGCTGCAGCTTGAGATGAGAAGAAGATCTGTGCTGGAGAAGTCTGGAAATGGTCAACGACGTATATACAATGACTCTTTACAGAAAATAATGTGCGGAGAATACACAAATTGATACTGTAACTATTTTAAAAACAAACTACATGCAAAACCTACTCAAATGTCTCTCTTTATCGATTCATAATCGATAAAATAATATAGAAATTAGTCGGTAATCAATATAAACTCAATATCATGTAATCAAGCGAAGCAGAATGAGAAAATAAATTAACGTTATTTGATTAATGAATTATATAAAAAATTTATATCGTGAAAACGATAACAAAAATGACCTAGAAACCCTGATAAACTGGTTCAAATATGCTCACAAGATGTCATGTCAGGATCATCACCTTACTAATCCCTTTCGATTCGAAGACCAACATAACATCCTGTCAGGATACTGTCAACAGCTAACATTATCTTTTGATGAATCATTCCATCGTTTACGAAAAAAACAGAATTAACTACATTTGCATAAATTTCACTGAATACTGTGGAAAACGGAGTCTCTGGTTGAATGAAAACCACCCTTGTTCTTTGGAAACAGAAAATGAACTTACTCTATTACAGTGTTACAGGAAAACTATTGATTGTAGTCAACGCCATCTAATGGAGAATATGTCAATTCATTGCTCGAAAACAGAAAACATAGAGGGAGTTAGGTAACGAGATTTACAAATTCACAAAACCTTAAAAATTCAAGAACTTGTGATGTTTGTTTGCTCCCAAGGCTTTCATTGAAATATCGGCAGGCATATCATTTGTCTGCAAATATTCTGTACTAATCAAAACATTAGCTATAGTCTCCCTAACGAAATGATGACGCACGTCAATGTGTTTGGATATCTTGTGGAATATCGGATTTGACGAAAGCTTCAAGGCACTTTGACTATCACTATATAATAAAACACAGTCTGAAGAGCCTGTTAATTCCCCCAATAGGTTTCTCAGCTATATGGCTTCCTCAGCTGCCTCTGCTAAGGCCATGTACTCCGCCTCAGTACTGGAGAGTGCAACGGTTTTTTGTTTGTTGCCCATCCAGGACACAGCACAATTTGAATAAGTGAAACGAAGCCCAGTATAGGACCTCCTATCAAGAGAATCACTGCCCCAATCAGCATCTAAAAATCCCACTAAACCTTTGAAATTCTTTTCAAATTTCAAACAAAGATCTTCAGTCTTCTTTAAATATTTCAATAAGCTCTTAACACTTCGCCAATGAGTGTTATCATGACAGTTATTGAATTGGCTGAGGTAACTGACACTATATGAAATCTCTGGTCGTGTCATGACTGTCAAGTACATCAGCCCACCTATCAACTGTTGATATGGTACAGAATCAGAATTATTATTACGGCGCAAAAAATTCAAATTTTTTTTCATTGGAGTATCCACCGTCTTGCAATCTACCATATCGAATTTGGACAACAACTGGTCTATGTAATGTCTTTGGTCCAATGTTATGACATTTTCTGCCTCATCAATACTAATATTCAAAATTTGCTTACTTTGACCTAAATCCTCCAATTTGAAATTTGCTGCCAACTCCTTTTTTAAAACATTAGATTCTGGGATATCATTTGAAAAAATAAAGAAGTCATCTACATATAAGGCAATAACTGTCATTAGATCCTCATTATGCCTAATGAAGACACATGGTTCATACTTAGACTTGTTGTACTCCAAACTACTCAGGACATCTTCAACTTTCTTGTATCAAATACAAGATGCCTGTTCCAGTCCAAAAATTGCACGTTTCAACTGTAAAACTGTATTTTTCTGATCTGATCTCATGAAACCTCAGGTTGTTTCATAAAAACAGTCTCTTCTAAATGGCCATGCAAGAATGCTGTGGTGTGGAAAATTTCTAATCCTAAATCTACACTTAAGGCTATTAACAATCTCAAGCTAGAATGCCTGACAACAGGCGAGAAAGTTTCTGTATAATCAATCCCTTCTTTTTGGGTAAACCCTTCAGCTACTAGCCTTGCACGATAGGTCTCATTATTAGCACTGTCAACTTCCACTCTATAAACCCACTTGCACTGCACTAAAGCACCACCCTCAGGAAAATCAACCACATCCCATGTGTCATTCTCTTCTAGGTTCTTCATCTCCTCCATCATAGCTCGCTTTCACGTGCTGCCATCAGACCTGGTCATAGCTTCAGAGAAAGTTGCTGGATCCTTCTCAGGAAGCTTCTTGAGGTTGGTCCCAGCAGCTGGACACGAATTGAAACATAATCATCAAAGATGTTTTCCTATCTCTGTCGCTCAGATCTGCTGGGTAATGCGTTTTCACTGGAACTTGCAGGCTCTTTTTCAGATATGTCAACTGATAGCTCTGGCTCATAGTCACTATCGTGTGAATCATCTGCTAACAGCAGATCACTGGAGGTTTCATGAACTGAAGTGGCACTGGAATCAGTATCTTCTATTTCTGTTGAATTGTCATCTGGAACATGCATGCTATTCTCCCCCACTGCATTTGGTACTTCATTTTCAGCAATTGAGATATTCAGAATTTTTGTCTTCAAATCTTCATGAATATTCACATCTCTTAATTCCAAATTTTTTGGGATTTTCTCTCCTCGTTTTTATAAAATAAAAATATGAATATTATTCCGATATACGTGTAGTAAGGACAAATCAGATTATTTGCCCCAAAATGTCACTGTGTTCAAAGAATTTTCCTTTCAGAGAGCGTGAAAGAAAGAATTCACTAGATAATATCATAATATTATTCCATAATAGTATTAAAATCATTGAAAAAGAAGGTAACAACCAGAAGAGGAAAATCAAGGAATATGCTTGCATTCTTCTGAACGAAGACGATAGTATTGCTTCTTGTTCAGATAATATAGACAGAACATGGTATTCACTATTGAAATCCAAACATGAAAATGGTGAATTGGAGATTAATTAATGAAAACATCCTGTAACACATTTGATTGCCATCGTCACCAATTGTCAATGAAAACTGGAAAGCTTCAAGACAGATACGACTTTGCTATTAAAATAATCATTTCTTTTGTTGAAAACGAAAGCAGATTCGGTCTCTAAACGTCCAAAGATAAGTGAAAATTTGCTTTTTTTCCATATACCTTCATTTCTCTTCTCCAAACTTTTTTCAATACGAATTGTCAATGACAAGCTAGTGAATTTTTCTCTTAGGCTCTCTGATAGGAAAATTCTTTGAACGCAGTGATATTTTGGGGCAAATCATCTGATTTGTCCTCACTACACGTATATTGGAATGATATTCCTATTTTCATTCTATGGAAACGAGGAGAGAATATAAATTTGGAATAATGAATGTTTCACCTTCTCGATTAACCTACAGACAGTATTCACATCTCTGCTTGTTGTAACACCATCAGTTCCATGGTTATAAACTCTGTAGCCCTTTATTTCTTCAGAGTAACCAACCAGAGTATGATTGATAGACTTTTTATCAAACTTGAGTCTTCTTTCCTTGGGGATATGTACCATGACAGTACTTCCGAAAATACGCAATCCTGATAGGTCTGGCTTTTTACCATGCCACATTTGATAAGGGGTTTTCCCATTTAAGCTGCTGGAAATGCTTCAATTCCTCAAATAGTTGGATGTATTAACTGCCTCGCCCCAAAAACGCTTTCCAAGACCAGCATCAAATAAAAGGCATCTTGCCTTCTCTACAATGGTACGGTTGAATCTTTCAGCCATACCATTCTGCTCAGGTGTATAGGCATTGGTTTTTTGATGGATTATACCTTCTTGTTTCAGAAAACTTCCAAATTCCCTGCTGCAAAACTCACCGCTATGACCAGTCCTGAAAATCTTGATTTTCTTGCCTTTCTGATTTTCAAACATGGCTTTGAAGTCTTTGAATTGCTGGAAAGCTTCACTTTTTGCTTTTAGGGAGTAGACAAATGAAATTCTACTGAAGTCATCAACAAAATGCAGAAAATATCTGGAGCCACCTATGGAAATGACTTCCATTGGCCCACAGACGTCACCGTGAATAATTTTTTGTGTATCAGTGCTTCGTGTACCTACAGTTGAAAAAGGCAGTTCTATGCCACATTTCAGACTCATCACAGGCACCTAGCATACAAGTCTCTTCTTTCAAATTCAGCTTATACACTCCATCAACTAGGCTTGCTGTAGCCAACAACTTATTTTCAGGAGTGTAAATGGAACATCCATTATTTGTAAAATGATCGTTACCTTTAGAGATAAGCTGGCTCACTGAAAGAATATTTTTTGTAAGTTCTGGAACAACCAATACTACCTCCACAGTTATGTCATATGACTTTCCATCTACTGAGGTAAAAATGTCCAAATCTCCTGAACATTTCACTGAAAGCTTTTCTTGATTTGCAACAATGATTTCTCGAATAGCTGGCTGTGAGGTGTTCATAATCAAATTTTCATTTGATGTCATGTGTTTGCTTGCACCAGAGTCTGAATAAAAGTCATTTTTGTTGTATTCTGCACTCAAAAATACAGCACTGAATGCATACTTTTCATTTCTATCTTCAGATCTCGGATTAGGACACTTTGACATAAAATGTCCGGTTTGTTTACATTGAAAACATGTTATTTTGCTTTTCTCCCTTTGTTGTTTATCTTTATAGGAATTTTTGACATTGCTTTCCTTGTTACTGGTGCCACCTGTTGGCTTCCTTCTGAAGTTAGATCCCTTCACGGCAAAGGCACCTGCTTTACTACCGCTGGAGCCACCTGTTTCCATATCGAGCAACTTGCTTTTTATGACATCTGTTATAATGCAGATTCCTGCATGCTCGATAGCCATTAACATTGGAGAGTATTTTTCTGGCAACCCTGCCAACAACAACGAGCCGATCCATTCTTCTGTGATATTGAAACCGGTTTTTCTTAATTTTTGAGCCGTTTCGATTACCTGGTTGACGTAACTTTCCATAGAATCAGAACTATCCAATCTCAAGGATATGAAAGATCTTAACAATCCTATTTTTCTTGAAAAACCTGTGTCTGCATAGAGATCTCTAATTTTCTCCCAAACGTCTTTACAAGTGCCTGCATCTTTAACATGTACAAATAAAGACGGATCGATGGTCAAAATTAGTTTCGCCTTTGCCTTGGCAATCACTGTCGCATCACTTTCATCACCATCTATACACATCGTCAGTCCTTCAAGAACATAATAGTTCTCGACGGCGAACGACCATTCGTCGTAGTTTTCCTGCCCGAGAAGCTTCGGGACACTGTTCAAGTAAGTTACGACGGACATTTTCGCACGAAACTGAACAAACTGCGTGATTTACTAACTGAACAACTCCCTTGTCACGGAAAACTCGCGGAAAATACGTTTTCTGGGCTCATAACCTGTGAAAAATGGGGTCAGGTTGAACGAAACCACGCTTGTTCTTTGGCAACAGAAAATTAACTAACTTTATTCACTACAGTGTTACAAGAAAACGATTGATTGTAGTCAACGCTTTCTAATGGAGAATATCTCAATTCGTTGCTTGGAAACAGAAAACATAGAGGGAGTTACACGAAACATGAATATTTCGAACTTTACAACAAATACACAATGACTTACCTCAGGTTACTTGAATTCATGAGATGTTGAGGATGTCTAGAACTAATTGTCCATAAAATTGTTCTCCAAGATAACAGAGTCAATCTGGTTCTTCTTCAGATCCTATAGACTGCTACACATATATTGGTTCGAGTAGGTTACCATATAAAAATTCAGTTTCAACATCAAATTCTGAGATCTAATCTGGCTGCTATCTAGAAGCACTCATATCAATTTATATTCAACTAGAGAAGCGATAGTTTCTTCATAGTCAATTCCTCGCCTTTGAGTGAATCATCTAGCCACGAGAATTGTTAGATGAATTTCTTTTCTGGATTTCATCATTTTTTATTTGGGATACCCATTTTCAGTCTGAAATGTTTGATAATGATAATGATGTAGATAAACGCTTTCATTGATAGATAAAAGATGACAGGGCATATTAAGAAAAATCAATAATGAAAAAAAGATTAAATTAAATATCTATCAAGAGGCAGAGTTAGCTCTCAAACGTTCCTGAGAGAAACGAAAAAGTACTTTCTTTCACTCAACGGTGAAAGTATCTCTTGCATTTTCTGGAGCCTGATCAAAATTCCATGTTTCATTTTCTTAATTCTCCTATATCTGCAGAAAGACTTCATTTTAATTCTGCGGAGTCTCAATTTTGATCACTCAAGAATAAAATATTGATAATGATATTCATCTCAGACAGGTGCAATGGAAGGTCAGAATGCTATCCATCATAAAATAAGGATTCCGCTGAGTGAACAGCAACTTCTGGACTGCTCCGGAGAATATGGCAACGGAGACTGCATTGCTGGAGGAGACGAGAAAGCGTCTTTCGCTTATGTCAAAGATCATGGGATCGAAACAGAGGCTCAGTATCCTTACACCGGAAACAAAACGAAATGCATGTTCGATGAGAGCAGAACTCTCTTGAATATCACAGGATATAAAGAATTGCCAGGAAATGAGGAAGCACTCAAACAAGCTATAGGTAAGTTGTTTTCATCGAAATGAACCTGGAATTGTGAATTTCTTCCTTACTTTCAATGCATCCTTGTGGCTAGATTTGTTTTTCGATATGGTGGACTGTATTACTTATGATATGAATAATGAATGCTTGAATGAATGCATGAATGTGTTTTTTTCATCAAAATAAATGTCAAGCATAAAATACATAAAACGGTTCGCGGGCGCGTGAATGGTATTAAACCACATACAGGGTATTGATTCAACAATACAGAATACCCACAATTGTTTATACTTCCCCGTGTTGAACAATTGTAGCTTTTGAAATATCAATAACGATACATCTTTTAACGTTAGCAGTATGTAACTGGTTCGCAGCAGGTACACTTTCGATACTGCTTTCTTCAGCGTATCGTGTAGTGTTTTGATAGTCACTACTTTAACAATATCGTGTCCTCCGAGATGTACATGTATAATGCGACCTAGGAACAATTCGCAGTGTGAAAACTTCACAAACGATAAGATTTCCACATAATTCTCAAACACACGACATATTTTGCGAACACAGTAGCTTCGTCAGGTGATATACTAGCACGATGAACTGAACTAACCTTCTTGCTTATATATCCTACTTTCCCAACCTGAAGGATTAGTTACCTCTGGACAAGTTCCATCAACCTCCATTTTCTGAAATTAGGCACAATATCTACATTAAAATACGGTGTACCGCATTAACTTAAGGGTTGATAGCAAATACATATTATTACCTACTAAGAAAACAAATTCAACAGTGGTGAACTATTGAGGTATCATTGATCGTTAAGTAACATGTCAAAGTTTTCGAGTTTGTTGATTTCTAATGATTCAAAATGATTGAGTTTCATTCCTTCATTTTCTACATGTATGAATTCGAAATTATCATTAAAACTATGGTTTCCTTTTAATATATGGTTGGCGTATGTTGTTTGTATGTCTAACCAATATATACGTCAGGACAAGATCCACAGTGGAGTTTGTATGCCCCTGATTTTTCGAATTCGAAAGTTTTGTCTTTATCATTTTTTTGGGTGTATGATAAATTGACATTCATCATACAGGGCGTACAAAGAAATTCTAAATTGAGACTCTATCACGAATCTGCGATTAGAGGTCTATAAAAATCTTCCCAACGTGTGGTGAGTTGTCCTGTTCTATGAGTACCAACGTTCTTACACTCAGATGATTGTCACTTTGTTTAAATTTATACCTTTGTTGCAGGATATAAAGATAGAATTTCGACCTTTGTTTCCAAAAACTTCGTTGAACTTGTTGAAATAATCGTAATCTGGATAGTTGGTTGAGTTTCATTTATTCCTCAAACACCGAATCGGGTGCATTAATAAGCGACTTGCCAATGTGAGTGAGTGGGGAGATTTATATCATTTGGATCGAATGACATTGGATATACGGGTCTAGAGTTCAATGAATGCTCACGAATTCTTCATATGTGATCATCATAACTCTGCATAGATGATGCTTTACACCATTCACATTTGATTTCCACCTACTAAACATGTGAAAGCAAGTTACATTCGGAACTAACGAATGTTGTACTGAGTTTTAAATCACATGATATTCATAAAAATGCCCCAACAGACAACAAACAATATTGACAGTTCATCTTCAGTTTCTGATTGCATCATCGCAGAAATATAATTTAATGATAATAATAATAACTTCATTTCCAATTCTCCAATATTAGTAGATATATAACATTTTGTAAATAACAGGATCAAACAAACCATATATAATGCATAAAGATTGTAACAATGTAACTCTAAAATACTACTAGTATCTACAGCGAATATAAATTTTGAGTTGCAATGGAAATGAATATGTACCAAAACGAAATCACAGAAGCATTATGCTCGAGTGTGATTTAATCTTATTCATTTCTTCTGATAGGTCATAGGTATTTTTCATATCAATCATCTGGTGTGTCCAAAGTCTTGATATTTGATTCAGCCATTTATTGATTCTGATTTCAAATTTACTTTTGGGGTAGATATTCACTTTGATACTATGTGGCAGTTCATTGTATATGACGCAACTAATATAATGTAAACTCCTTTGTCCAATGGTTTTCCTGCATCTAGGAACAGGAACCAATTGATTCCGAATATTATAGGAATGGAGAGTATTTTCCCTGCAATCATTATAGTTCCTCAACATACGAATTGTGACAGTAGGTTCAAAAATTCGTCGTGAGTCGAATATTTTCATTTCATCATAAAATTTTTCAGTGGAATAAGTGATGCCTTTTTTTTAATATTATTTTCATAATCCATTTTTGGATAATGTTAATTTCTGCAAGTGAATGTTATTCACTCCGCCCCAAGTTACAATACCATACGAAATGTGTGATTGCACAAGCGCATAGTACAACATTTCCAAGTAGGTGAATTCAAACAGCTTAGGTAGTTGAATTCCTTTTGTGAATGTACTGTAACGAGTTGATTGTTAGTATATTAATCAAGAGTATTGTATTCCGGGAGAGGATTTGAATAACAGCTGAAGGGAAGAAAGGAGGTTTATTCAAAATGGATGGTTAGAAGCTTGTTACTGAAATAATTCATTTTCAATGGAAAATCTTTCTCGTTAATTTTTTTTCAATTCAGACCAACTAGAGCTCTTGTAATTTATTGCTGTGTCGTCAGCGAATCCGATCAGTTTCCTACACTGGGTAATTTGAAGAAGCCATTCATATAAATGTTAAAGAAGACGAGGCCAAGAACTGTTCCTTGTGGAACTCCAAATTGAATTACTCGTTCGGAACTTATGTGTATTGTCTATTATGACACACTGGGTGAGAACTGATAGACTAGGACAAATTCATATAGTAAACATCAGGAATCCTGAAATGAAATGAAAATGACGTGAGCAGTGAATAAGCACGCGCCATTTCGCCATTGTTCTATGATTCTTTTTTCTTCGTGAAGTCTCATGGTCTGTTCTTGACTTGTTCATGCGTTTATTTGTTTATTGATCTGCTATTTTGTTTCTTGAATAATAAGAAGATTTTGAAGTGTGTGTTGAAGCAGCAAAATGGATAATATAAATAAATCTATGGCATCTTCATCAAAGGTAAGGCAATACGCACCGCCGAAATCAATTGTCATTATATGTATCCAGTTGATTTGCCAACAAAAACTACATGAAAAACATTGCACTCATGAAGATTTCACATTTCTATTGTGATGAGTGTTAACGTTTTTAGATACTAAAGCATCGTAAGAAGTACTCAAATATGTCGAAAAAATAGTTACGTGAGATGGTGAGACAGAATACCAAAAATGAGAAACTCGAAATTCGAAACCAAGGTCTTAACTGATGATGAGGCCCTTTTAGAAGATACTTACACTCGTTGCCCTGATATTGTACAAGACAGAAATGAGAACCCATCAGTTACATCTCCCCTCACTGATACACCAGGAGGCCCTGATATTGTACAACACAGAAATAAAAACCCATCAGTTACTTCTTGATTCAGATATTCCCCAGAAACCCAATTTATTGTTCCTTTTTCATTAGATACTACTGCTAAGTTCAATATAGCAAGAGCCCAGGTATCACATAACTTTACAACATAAGCTAACAATTCGAGAAATTGGGCAATTGTTGGATGCATTTCCAATAGGAACTTCAATAAATTTCTTGCTATCCTGTGGAAGCACAAGTCAATGAGTGAATATGAAAACCTCCCATCTGATTGTCGGATTTTGTTGATAACTAAAAAGTCTGGTACAGTTTCGATAACAGAATTTGAAAAATATAATCATGTTGGCCTATTAGCAGGAATGAATTTCATATTGCAAAAGAGCAAAGTTGAATTACGTGAGTCACCTAATGGTTTTATCAGAATACATGTCAATGTTGATGGTTTATCATTGACGAAAAGTTCTAAATTCCAATTTTGGCCCATCAAAGAATCTATAAATAATTTGAAGTGCAGTGATCTTTTTGTATAAGGAGTTTTTATTGGGAATTCGGAATCTGGTAGTACCTCAGAGATACTGGGTGATTTTATTAGTGAATATTTGAAAGCCAAAGTAAACGAGCAAATTTACTGATGTGTTCATCTAGTGTAAGACGCTCATTTGTGAATCACTCCAGGAAAAATGTTTTAACTCACAAGTGAGAGTTTCAGAAATTGTTTTTACCAATTTAGATAACATTGAAGCACCACAAATTTCTACCCTTCATATAGTGAGTGTTTTTCAGAACGAGACTTCAGTTTTTGTACACATCAAACTAACCTGACATTGCCCTCTTTCATTAATACTCCTGATATAAACAGCACAACTATATGCTTCTTGAGGTGCATCACAAAATCCATGTAGTTCTAATTTCAACGACTCATTCGGAATGACCCTTGCCTTGGTATTTTTCTAGATCATTCAATGCGAACCAATCATTTATGAAATACAATCATATATTTGCGGAACTTATTCATTCCACGATAATTTCAGTAACCACGATCCCTGAGTAGTTAAACTTAGAGACCCAGACTATCAGCATAGGGAAATACACGCTTTACTCTTAACTGGAACGCGCCCTGTGTTCTAGCAGGGAAGCGCGGAAGCGGAGGCGCGGTAACGCGGTGGAGTGACATCATCATCGACAGGGTGTTTGAGTTGAAATATATATATATTTGACAGATGACCGTTGATATATGACAAACGATCGATGACACGTGACCATATTATGATGCTTCAGACTCCACTCAAAACAAACGCTCTGATTTCACCGGAATTTTACAGGAAATAAGTCCAGTCTGCACATCTTTTCATCATCATCCTTTAAATATGTCAAACAACTGTTCACCACACCTTTCTGATGATTTCAGTTGAGATATAAATAAATTATTACATTGGAAGCGTCCTGAAATTACAGCCGATCATTTTACGTAAATATTATTAGATATTGCTTCGTAATAGACAAGTTACCATTATTTATACTTTTTCACGAAGACCTTTGGATGTGATA